ATATATGAGAAAGGAATAATGATAGTATCTTTGTTAAGAAGTACCTGAGGATTAAATTAAATAATCCATTTTAAGCGGTTAGAACAGTGCCTGACAGTATTGAACAATATAAGTTGCTATCATTTATTGTCATCCCCATCTACATCTGAGAGACTAAGCTCAGACTTTATTTTTCCACTAAAATTTACTCAACAGATTCTTTTTACAATTCTAAATACAATGGTAGCATCTTGATATATAGGAAAGACAATTCAATAATTTTGTCTTTGTTTTCTGACTTTTTATCATTTTTCATATTGATCTGATGAAATATCTGACATTCATGACTTAAAAGGAGAAATTAAATAAATATTTTAAAAGTTGAACACAACCATGGGTTACAGGCTAAACATCTGTGGTGAGCCTTCCACAGATAAAGCAATATTCTTTCCCGTTTGGCTCTCTTTCCCCAGTTGTACCTGACAGCCGATCACTGGGTTTGTAGAATTTAATCTTGAGAAGGCCTGAAATATGTAGCTATTCCTGGGACTCCATTTGTTGTTTTGTGGTAGTTCAAATAAGTGCTAGTGATGAGAAAACCTCAAACTCTTGGGTGGATATGTACCCAAACACCTAGTCACTTCGTAAAATGTCTCCAAACCTCTTCACCTTGAAAGGATCCTGACAAATGAATGACATTCCTGGAACCTACTGTTATCACTCCAAGAAGCATATTTCTTAGTATCTTTCAGGAGTGGGTATCAGGAATTGGTAAAGGCTAAGTGAAATAAAATTAAATTCACATCAAGGAAGGAAAATAAAAACTAACTCTTTAAAAAATGTGCTTATTTAGTGATTTGCTATTCTTGGCCCGGTGTCTGCAGGCATATGCAACCTTAATATGAGAACGATAGATTTGCTTCTAAACACAAGGCTGCTGGGGTCTGTTCAGAATTACTTACTGACCCCATGCTGTTCTGGAAATGCCCTACTTTGTGAAATATGCTATGTTCCTCATTTTAAACAACTCAACAGGTACACGCATTTCATTTTTTAAATTCATCCAAAACAAATACAGTAATGTTACTTCTATTATGAAAAGCAATTCAATATTAGTTTTTTACATAAACAACACTTAAAACCAATAACCAGCAATGAGTTTTGCAATGATGTGCCAGAGACCTGGGGCCTTGGAGGGTGATGCCACTGAAGAGGAAGAATCTTCCGTTTTAGTGCACAAAGAGCTTGAGGGTAGGGTTCAAAAACAAACTTAACCAAAAATGTCTATTTTTAAACTAGTGGTGAATACCCATTCTGACAGCTCTCTGAAGCACCTGAATGTAATCTAGGAGTTTCCACCTCTGGAGAGCTCCACAGCCACACACTGGGGACAGGGGCTGCATTGCCAAGGCTTACCACTAAGGTGGCCCCTCAGATCCATGAAGGGTCTGCAGAGTTCCTTCTCTGAGCAACTCCAGCTCTGCCCCCATTTGTTGCCTTATCACTGGGATAGGGTCATAAAAACCCCTATGACCCCAGTCCCCAATCCTGGTATCTTGGTATTGTTGCTAAGAACCAACAGCCTAGTGGGTCAATCAAAACGATCAAGTTACGCATCTTAATTTGTTTTAAAATATGCTGCTTTCTGGTCCTCAGATGAGTTTACAGCCCTCTGATTCTTCCAATTGACACTTATCCCTGTAACTTTACTGAGATAGTGTTTGAAGAACTAAAACACCGGCTCACCGCTTATGAGAATATTACTTTCTCACCAATAGTCACATAAATAATGCTGCTTAATGGTGAACACCTGAAATAGGATCGTATACAAGCGTTCAGTAAATGTTGGTCAGGTAAATGAATAAAACAATGAGCCAATCAACTGATTAAAAAAATTGATAAGCTGGTACATGTTTGTAAATCTTTGCATGTCTGGAAGAGAAAGATGTTTTTCCAAGATATAATCCAATAAACTATCAGCCTTGTAAGGACAGAAATGGTATTATAATCTTTTTCTGTTATGAAAAACAGTTTTCCCCAAAAGGCTACACTTGAAAAGACATTCAATAAATATTTACTAATTGAACCAAATTATATAAATTACACAAGATTTAGTTTTACAGCTTTAATTACCCACACAATAACTCCATAAAAGCATAGGTCCCCTGAAAAAAAAAGTCACTTTTAATGATAAAGACAACCACGATAAAAAGCTTATTTTTAAAAATCTTATGCATTTCCTGGGAAAATTTCCATATTTGCCTAAGGTTACTGAGATTTTTTCTAGAAATGTGATGTCTGAAGCCCCACTCCTCATTCTCTGTACCTCAACTTTTACATGGTATTACCGTTTGGTTTAGATTCGTGGCTAGACCATTGGGCATGTGGCAGGATGGTGCATCTTATTCTGAAGGAAGAAAAAATCTGTCCCTGCTGATAGAAAAGGGCAAAGAGAGATTGCTTCGAGAGCCAAACACAGCTCAGCTCTGATAGTTTCCCATTCTCCTCTTAGCTCTCTTCCCCTTTCCTCACTGAATCAGAGCTTTTGTTCTCTTTACACCATGATTCATTAGGAAGTTGCTAATAAGGAAACTGGCAAATCTTTATGACTACAGTTTCAACCACCCATTACAGCGTCCTAAGGGAATATGTGTCAATTTTAAATAGAAAAACTGAAGAAATTGTTGGGAAGTTTTAAGGAAAAAACCCCTTCCCAAATGATCTCAGTACCTGCTTCAAGACTCCAAGTCAATTTGTAGATGTAGGCCTGTGTTAGGGACAGAGGGCCTACACCAATCTGCTGGAAGCTGGCAATGACTCGGCAATGTGAAAATCGTGAATGTCTTTGATTTTCTTTCTGTTCAGTAGAAAATATTTTCTAACCAAGTTTGGTGGAAAATGCATGCCAAAAATCTCCCTTACTAAAAGGAGGAGACACACAAACTTAAATGGACCAGAGGACTAGAAGAATCTTTAGGTAAAGAGGTGACTGCCACAGTAAGTGAGCGTTAGGATCAGCTGGCAAAGCCATTAGAGGGGCAGAGACCATGATCATTGTTATGGGAACTCTTCCCGTGCCGGACAGACATCAAGAGCGGAGAGGTTTCCCATTCTTGCATGGAGAGGAGCTGATGAAAACGGAGTGGGGTGCATTGTGTTCAATTGTGAAATGAGGCAAATGGCTGAACTGAATTTGTTTCACAGAAAAAAATATATTAGAAACATATAGATGAGTCCCCTATTCTTTTCAAAAAGTACAACCAAATGTTTCAACCTGAATAAATGGAACAGCCTGCTCATCTGTGTAGCTGATCTGTCACTGTCTTGCAGGTTTCAGCTTAATATGGCTACGTACGCTTTCCACCATTCCCATTGCCACACATTGTTGGCAAATGTCTCCATCACTTAGGGCAACGAACTGTAAAATCAGAACACATCCTTATCTACCAGAGAGAATACTTTCAATCAGCCAACAGTTTCATAGTAGCACAGACTGCTATTTCCATGACAAGAAGCCAATAAGAACCGGGGGAAAATTCTAGGTGAATGACTTGAGATTGGACAATGGAGTTCGAAATTAGCCAAGTTCCTCTGGGGCTTATACTCTTATCTACATAAATTACAAACATGATTAGCAAAGCCCTGTTTTACTCCATTTTAAATGTGGCAGTTGGGCACTAAGAGATGGGCAAGGAAAATTAAAAGGGAAGGAAGATTTTTTGAGAACCAAATACATGATGATCCATTAAACTGAACCACTCAGTCTACTTCCTTTCAGTGGTCAGTTCAGTTATGTGTCTCATATTTTTGTTGAGGAAAGACAACGGGAGGGCTAAAAGACAAGGAATTCTTTAAAAGGCTACGTCCTGTTATCAGGTGACCAAGAAACCTACAGAGATTGTTGCTGTTAAGTACTCCAAATAAAACTGGTTACTTTTATCTACACTGGCCATCAAGGTAAACTCAATCTCTGAGATGCTGCTGTGAGCTAATGGACAGTGGTGCGAGAGCCATCATGTCTTCCTGAAGTCGAATCATTTCATGTAACATGACCCAAATTTATTGAGCATCATTGTTGATTACCAAAGGCTCGCTGAAGTTACACCCACATTCCGAGTGATCAAAGAACAGTGAAATTGTGTACATAATCCTTTCTCTTTCAATAGATCAGTGTTGAGAGAAGAATATTATCAAGGGCCACAGGAGATGAAAAGGTAATTCTTATGGATAAAATTAGCTGTTTCTGGGCAGTCTATTCTAAGCACGGCCCTCTCAATGTCTCCTTGTCTGTTTTTGTTTTGTTTTCAGAAATGCTCCTCTCATACTCAGGAGGGCCTTCCAGCCTTCACCTATATGAGGAAGGAAGATGAAACTGCCCCAAAAGGCCTTGACCATGGGGCTTGGCACTATTTTTTGCTCACATGTTCAACACTTTCACAGGCACAACAAAGAAATTGCTTGAAGCCTAATACCTTATATTCAGCCTCATACCGAAGAACGTTTGTTTATTTATTTATTTATTTAATCATTCATTCATTCATTCATTCATTCATTTATTTATTTAGCTAAAATGTTATTGAAAACAAAATTTTCTCAACTAGCTGCTTCGGAACAATATACTGCATCATGAAGCTCCGTACACTTTCAATGTTTCTGAAATCCTGACAGGACAAAGTCAGTCCCCCAGTTTTTTTTTTTTGAATTTTGAAATGTAAACCATTTCCTTCCTCTTCCAGGCTCTTCTGTATCAGCACCGGGCTGTTAGATGGAAGGTGCCATGTGAAAAGTGCATGAGAAGTGAGCGTGGAAAATGCAGAAATGGAACGCCCGTGGGGCCGAAGACGGCAGCGACCGAGCGAAGGCTCTTCCGTCTGCTTCTGCAGTGCCGCTGGGGCAGCACCAACCCCCAGCCCGCCGGCCGGCGCCAGGCCAGGCCAACCCAAAACGGCAGGACGAAGGGCTGTACAATGGGTCCCCTTGAATCATGCTACTAAAAAAGGTGCGATGAGAAACAAGTCCCTGTGCATTCTTAGTCACAACTGTAGGCAGAAGAACTCACGTGATTCCTCCCTTTGGTATTAAATAACAGTTTTAAAAAGCTTTTTAGAAACAAAGCAAATACGTGGTGGGACTGGAAATGTTGGCCATCCCAGGTTAGTTGTCCACTGAAATGTCTCATCCCTAGTCATAAATAAATAATCTCTTTCCTGGTCTGACTTCCACGCCAGGATCAATATTTTCTTAACATCTTACTTATTTTATTACTGCTTTTGGTTTTCTGGGACTGATTGAAAGTTGCTCAGAGGAAATCTTTGGTTTTGCTTAAGTGTCCGTGACATTTAATCATGACTTTCCTTGCAGTTTAATTCCAAGCAGTCAATCAGTTAATCCACTTCGATTGATTCTGGGCTCTCGGTTATTGGCTTGCACTCATTGGGCATCCGCTGGTGTCGGCTCAGCTGGGTGGCCTGCGTGAAGCTCCTCTCACACCTCTCGCACCTGGTGGAGGCAAGAGAGAAAATTGAGACCAGGGAGCGAGGCCTGCAGGGTGATGGGCTTCCTCTCATCCTGCCTAATCAGAACAGACACTCCAAAGTGGCTTCAGATTTTCCCGGCTCAAGAGGTTTAATTGGTGGCTCCTTCTAAGGCCTGGATGCCTGTGATGGGACAAAGCCTGTCTGATGCAGAACAGAGGAATCTGTCAATAGGCAGAGGGAAGGTGATTTCTCCAGAGAGCCCTGTCCTGCTACAGCTCTGATCACTGTCAGTTCAAATAGATAAAGAACAAAAAGAGATTTTTAGGAGTGAGCCATCAAAGCAGCAGCTTGTCTGCAGTTTTCTGCTCCGTAACCCCAAAAAGAAATTGATGACAAATAGAATTTCACCTGCTGCTAATTTAAAATCAGGAATTCTACTCCCCTCAGCACGGCAGCCAAGGAGCGATCATCTCTGAATTTGGAAACTGAAGGAAGCAATACATTAGTTTGCAGTGACTATGTAGGGGAAAGGATGCTTTTGTGCAAAAGTTAGTTATCGTTTCACAGCCTAACCAAACTTAGGGTTAAAACAATGTTTGGGGTGGGGTAGAATAACCTGAAATAAATCAATGTTTGTGTGGTTTAAGAAGTTCACCTCTCCAGAAAGTACAGTGAAAGAATGTACTTGTGGGCCATAATTAAGGGCCCTTGTATCTGATGAGGAGAAAACTGGTTTCACACTTCAAGACTATCTCCTCTCCTTCACTTAAAAACAAACGAACAAACAAAAGACTGTAATCTAGAAACCCTGGAGCTGACCCATTTCCCACGCAAGCTTGATGGCTTATTAACTTGATGGCTATTCAATCTATCACTCGCGCACACACGCGCACGCACACACACACACACACACACACACACACACACACTGTGGCAGCGAGCCATCATAGCTGGGCTGCCTGGAGCACTGGAAAAGCTCCCTTTGGGGCACAGCAGCCATTTCAGCCATCCCCTTAACTCCTCTCTTCGAACTTCTGAAGGAAAAGGTATGCAGGAGAGCTGCAGACTATGGTCCCTCTTTCAAATACCACAACCTTTAGTCCCAGGTCTCTGCACTACTGGGACTGTGGCAAACACCGTCACAAGAAAGTCTGAACTGCCCTATCATGTGCCACGTGTCTTGTTATCTAGTGAGCAGTCCTTTCTCCTTTTTAGTAAATTATACAAAGTCCCTTGCCACGGAATGGTTACCTATAAAAATAGAACACCCATCCACTCTGGAGATTCTTGCATATTTTTGAATGCTGGGAGGCTAAGAGCTTGACTATCACGCTTGGATTTTTCAGGGCTCCTGTGCCAGCTGAGTGTGTCAGGGTGAAGAAGTTGTGTTTCTTTGATTGTCTTTCAGGGAATATTTTTAGCAGCCCATTCCACTGTTAAAAACTGCACTGTGATCTTGACAAATGTATAATGTCAGCTTTAATGTATCAGACCTATCAGCTCAATGAAAATAACTCAGAAGTATTGATCAGCTAATGATTTTTGGTGTATTCATTAACGTCCATGGGCAGCTCATCCCCTCTCCAGAGCTCCTGAAGTGCTGATGACATGTTAGTGAATTGCTGATTGTTTATTAGAAAACTGATTAGTTACTAGATTAGTGTGTCAAAATATACTACCTTTCACTGCTTGACAAACTTTAAAATTATTATATTCTTTTTTTTTTTTTTTTTTTGAAGCTCTAGGATCAATTTCAACAAGAGCGGAATAGCTTGAACAATTATGAGGAATAACAATTTACCTGAGCCACACTTTTGCACTTTCCATCTTGTAAATTAGAATATAAAGAATTCAAAAGTGGGAAGTTTAGTTCTACAGAGAAGAAGGCAAAAGAATATGTGTATATGTAATATTTAAATATCCAGATTGGACAGAGGCTTTAAGAGGAGAGTTACATTTTTCTCAAGTGTTTGCCTAAAAGTCTCACAGATATTTACACTCATGGAATAATTTGTTGTAATAGTCAGGAAATTTGTTAAGTTTGATCTATAAGTCACCTGAGATTATCACTAAAAAACCATCTTTAGTGCCATCTGCTCACTAAGTGTGAGTAAAACACACACAGAACTAGCTACTAGTAATAATATTTATGTGGGTATTTACTGAAGAAGTGAAGAGAGCTAGATATAAAAATAATCTTTAAATAAAGGAAAGACCTCAGTTTTATGTTTACCATCTTTAATTTTAGAAAAATTTTCTTCGCAAGTTATTTGCATAGCTTACTAAAAGTCATCAGAAGGACAGACAATGCAAATACCCAGGTTCTGGCAGGTCAGAGCAGAATTTCAGCTGGGTTGGCATTTAATGAACCCTGAACGGCAATCCCAGACAAGCGACTGGGCATGGGTACCTCTAAACCTGCACCTCATGCAGTGGAGCTAAATAAGCAGGAAAGAGAGATGTAGGTAATGAGCCGGGAGCAAAGAAATGCTCTTGCACACAGGGTCATCCTCATTTGTGATGACATCACAGTCTTGAAGGGAATCTCAGAGGAACAGTGAAGTAGAAAGTCAGCTAAATATTTCAGCAAAGAGAATGTCCCCAACTTTCTACCAGTGTGGGTATCTTAATTAGACTTGATTTCCTTTTAGATTTGAGATCATTTTTTACTCATTGTGATAGTTGACTGGATTGTAGATACAGGGAGATTAACAATTACCATCTAAAACTGACAGAGACGCAAAACAATGTCAAGTTCTGTTACACAGAAAACGTGCAAGCTTTCTTTCTGTTGCTCGATGGCCTATCACAAAATACTTATTGAAATGAACCAAATTGCACAGGGATGTACTCAATGCATATTTACTGATGTGCTCTTCTTATTTGCTATGATTTTGCCTAGATCTCGTCAAAATATTAGATGCTTTCTGGAATATCCTTTGATTTTTTTTCATACTGAGCCAAGCTATCTTTACTTAAGGCAAAAACATAGTGATGAGTATTTTTCCCTGCTTCTAACAGATGAAGAGAAGAACCTCTTCTATGAAAGACCTGGTCTTCCCAAGCACAGAAGCCAAGCATCGAGCAACTTGCATGGATCCTCCCAGGCACAGCAGCCTCCCTGAAACCTTGAGAGATTACATTTAGAGAAGGAGATGGGGGTCCTCATTGCAAAAAATAAAATTTTAACTACCAACTTCTTTCTTCTTTCTTTTTCTTTCTTCCTTCTCTTTCCTTTCTGCTTCCCTTCCTCCTTCCCTTCCTTCCTTCCTTCCTTTCCTTCCTTTTCTTTCTTTCTTCTTTTCACTAAAATAAAATGCTTGGCAGTTGCTGCTAAATGATGTCTTGCTTTTGCTCCTTATTCTCCATGACTTCCAGTCTCGCAGTACAAACTGAAAGCCAAAACCTTTAATATGATCCTCAATATTCGTTTTCCTATGTGCTCCTTTACCTTGGAAATTCTAAATCTACAGCCAGGTACCCCGCAAGCCCATGATCTTCCTCAAGCTTGGGGGATGCAGTCTTCCAGTGGGATTTCAGCCAATCAGACTATAAGTCAAAGCCTGGTATGGAATGTGGATCTCTCAATGCCAGATCTTCTCAGCCTTCTCTGGATGGTAATAGTCTGAATCAACCTTCAAACACCACATCTCAGCAGGAGGGTTTAGAAGTTGGGAAGACGTGGCAGGCTCAGTCTCGCCTGGCCCCTGAGAATTCTGTGAAGGCCTCCTGGACCCTGGGTGGGTGGGACAATTTGGGGACTGAGCCATTTGGGGCAACTATTTGGACGCTGCCCAAGGCGTACAGTTTAGGGTTGTGCATCTTTACAAGATTCTTTTCTTTCTTTGCAACATTGTTTAGCCAATACCCATTAGTTGAAGTAGTAAAATTAACTGTTGTGGTGAAACCCATTTTACTGACTAATCTGCACCAAACGTTTTTTTGAATGTTTGTTTTATAAGCTCGTAAAAGGATATCTTCATAATATTTACAAATGTCCATGGGATGGATATGCATGAGCTATGGTTGGAAGCTTCCCAAAACTCCCCTGGGATAGTTCAGTCCTGAACGATCTGGTTGTATACACTGAAGGATTTGGCTTTTCATTTCCTAGAAGATGTTTAAATCTTGCACTTATAAAATAAGTGTACATTCAGTTCTCCCCAAGAATACGTGTTTGCTAAATTCAAAAACTCCCTACAGCATGTGGCTCGCTAATCTTAATAAGAGTAGAAGCAGAAGGAACTGCAAAAGGAACCCACAGCCTTCAAAACACATAGAATCTAATCCAACCAACTCTGGTTTGCTTATTTTTTTTCCAGACAAAATTAGATTGTAGTCACCAAAAGCATACTGTTAGAAAGGAAACAAAAGATATCATTGCTAAAGCCCATCAAATATATTAATCTGATGAATTAAAAGTAAGTTAAAATGGCAACTCTATTGGAAACATGACAAAAACAGGATGTTAAAGGAAAAAAATTGAGTGGAGTCAACAAGGTTACACATAAGTAACACCTTAACATTAATAGAAATCTATTTCCCATTCTGACCCTGAAACCTCTTCAATTAATTACTAAAATCTATTTACACAGCAACAAGATAAAAATCAATCTGATCCCTGGCACTGTGTCCGTCTAGCTGCCCTCTCTAATCTAAAGGGCCAGAAGGCTCATCCTCCTGCATCTCTGCTTTGAAAAAGCTCCCTTGCTCGAAAGCATGGGAAATGTGCCATTGTCACCTTCCACATCCAGAGCAGTGGGAAAGCCAGAATCTGTGACCCCATTACCCCACTGAGGGTCAGGCCTGAGGGTGATGACAAAGTCCACCGTGCAGGACACAAACACCTGCACTAAGGAACTCTAGGACTGTGTTAATCCACCTGGCCCTTGGGGTAGATTAGAAAAAAGTGGAGTCTACGGCCATGCTACCTGTACAAGCCTGATCCCGTCTGATCTGGGAAGCTAAGCAGGGTTGGGCCTGGTTGGTACTTGGATGGGAGACCATCTAGGAAGACCTGGTGCTATAGGCGTAAAATATTAAAAAATAAGGGATTGTAAATTGACAAGGTCCTTGCAATCTGTGAGGTCAACCAATCACCTAAAAAAACTTAAAAAAAAAAGAAAAGAAAAAAGTGGCCCCTTTGGGCTATCACAGCCCCAGAGGTCACCATTTGTCTCACATTAGTGCAGGCTCCATTTTAGACCCGCTCCAGTCCCCTTAGCCAGATGCCTATATGCAGTGAACAATCTGTACTTACATACAAAGATGAAAATTAAAACTTTATTATTAATATGATACATTAAACCATATAGTTAAGAATAGTGAATAAAGGCAACTAAATCATGAGGACGTGAGTGAAGATAACAGCATTTAATGAGCTCTTCCTTCTGCTGACAGATTTGGAGGCAGAGGTAAGTAGGACTCAGACCAACAGGACTCTGCTACTTTGAGCTGAGCCTGGCCTCAGGCTGAGTGCAACAGCCAGCCACACCTGCAGGTTCCGAGGGAAATTCATGGGTAATGAGGCTCCAGGAAGACTCCATGGGTAATGAGGCTCCAGGAAGACTCCTTGGCTGAAACCGAGCAAGGGGGTTTGCCTCCTACTGCCTGAATCATTTCCTTTCTTGTTTGATGTAAGAGAGGTGAACAGAAAAGAGTTGATTATACAGCCGGTAGAAACTATTTTGAGATATCAACCAGTCATACACATTGGTTCACACTTCCAAGCCTTCTGTATACTATCTGGGCTACCAGAAATGCCTATTTCCTTTGTATGTCTAGAAAAACTACTAAGCCTTCAAATCACATCTTAGACATCCTCTCTCCCAGATAGCACCTCTGTGCTACTCTGAAACATTGTACATACATGTCTTACTGTTTTTCACTTTTGCACCTTTCACCATATGTGGTCATACTTGTTTACTGTCCACATAAACTATGAGGTCTTCAAAGGCTGGAGAGCTGAGTCTCACTCACCTTTGTATCTCTTGTGTCTGCAGGGTGCCTAGTTCAAAAGAAGGTGCTCAATAAATATTTGCTGAATGAATGAACACGTCCATAAATGAATAAGTGAATGAATGCATAGGCCGTCTTGCATGATGCAGATGTCCACCGTTCTGATGACTGTGCTATATCCAGGAACATACTCTCTTGCTCAGATGCCCTTACCTGGCCAAAGCCCTTGGAATTCAATTCTACCTCTTTCCACATTTCCTAAATCTTCAAAAACTCAAATGTGCCCTGTGTTTGGTCTTGTTTTTCTTTTTTCACCAACATGGTAATTCTGAGATCCAAAAGGCACACTGAGAAGTCACAAGTTGGCTGCTATCAGAGATTCAAACCTTTTTAACACATAGGAAAGAGGAGAAGATCGTTCACCGGAATCCTAAAGAGTTCAAGTTCCCCAAAAGATGTCCTAAATTGTGGCCACCTTGCTGATGGTCATGGGCTTGCTGATGGTCATTAGATGAAGAAATGAAACACTTCTGAAACTAAGCTCCTAGCTCCAATTCTAGAAGCATAGATCGTTGAGAACTAGAAAGAACCTTAAAATGACTTACTCCTACTTCCTTATTTTACTGATGAAAAAACAGACCCAGAAAGGCTGTCTCATGTCCAAGGTGGCACAGCTCAAGCCAGGATCAATGTACAGGTTTCCAAATGTCAGCCACTATACAAAGTAGGCCTTTTTGAAGCCTGGACACTGACTTTCCACAGAGCCTTCTCCACCAGCTGGCTGAGCTGGGCAGCACCATGCTACCTCGTCTTCTGGCTCTCCGAGAAGGCTAAGAGAAAGCAGGGGTGAAAGGTCAGCCACTACTTACTTGAAGGGCTTTTCTCCAGTGTGGGTTCGGATGTGGTTGTTGAGGGTGGTGGCCCCAGCAAAGGCGCGACCACAGTAGCCGCACTTGAAAGGCCGGTCACTGGAGTGAGTGACCACGTGGTTCCTCAGTTCTGAAGGCTGGGAAAAGGACTGGGAGCAGTGACCACATTGGTAAGGTCTGAAACAAATAAAGAGGCTCTCTGGTCATTATTTTCTATGTTAGCCAGTGGAAGTCAGCATCATGGAGCAAAGGCCAAAACTTTTCGGTGACATTTTTGTTCTGCATGGACCTTCGGCCACTGGGTACCCATCACTTGTTGCCACAGAAGCAAAATTCACAGAGCTGCTGACACATTAATTCCCAAATGATTATTTTTTTCTGGTATCGATCTTACCATTTCAGGAACCCCTACTTTCTTGGTTCAAACCCCACCCCCTGCAAATATTAGTGTATTTGTGGGGAGCATGGAGAGTACAGACTTAATTAAGCAGAATGTTACAGGAGAAAATATGTAATTGCCTCTCATAATTTCATGGCACCTGGAACTTTTCAGAGTGCTTTAAAATCAATTATCTAGTCTAATCTACAACAATCCTGTGAGGCAGGGAAAGTGGTCCTTATTATCTCTGTCAGTTCAAAAACTGAAGATAAACTGTCCTCACAGGAAATAAGCTCTTGATGCCAAGGCCACTCTAGGCATTTAGACCTCACTCTAAGTGCCAGGTAAACGTGCAGGAAAGTCAGCAGGCTATAGGTGTGTGTTAATAAATACTAAACTGTCTTGGGATCTGTCTACAGCACAACCTCAACTTGGAGTCATCTGATATTACACAGACGAATACAGGTGTGCACCCAGATTTATTTCTTTGTAAAATAAATCCTGACTTCTACTTAGTCTCCCCCCACCCCTGAATAATATTTATCCATTGGGCCTTTTTCTTGAACTTCAGCTCCCCAGTTTAATCTGGTAGCAGGCAATGATTTACGGTACCACAAAAATGATGGGATGTCACTGTGCTTGCAGAAGGATGACCGTGATGCAAAAACAAATGGAAGGAAGTTGTGACAAATATCTGATAATTAGCAAGATTATCAGAGAACATTCTTTCCAGCTCATGAGGAATAAATCAATTTTTGGTTTTCGAAAAACAGCTTAAAATTCTATCTTCTCTACAAAAGTTCTCCTGCTTACTTAAGCAGAATCTACTGAGTGATGTAAACCCTGGGGAGTTTTCCCTATTTGAAGCTATTTCATATCATTCTTTGACAGGGCTCTAATTTGTTCATCTAAATTTTTGTTGGAAAAATTAAGAATCTGTCATGAGGGATATTAACAGCACTCACAAATCCCTGGTTTGTGCCCAGACGTATCTGGTTGCATTTAGAAAGCCAATGGTGAAAGCAAACTTAATTGCTCTACCTTTAACAAATGCATAAGCTCCAATGACCAGAAACCAAAATGAGGGGCTGGGAGACAATGGTGACCGAGCATGTACAACAATTCAATTAAGTGCAAAATAAAGTGTACCCTCTCATTTGTCAAGTGAGCTGCTTAATTGTGGCTACTTGCCTCGCTGAACACCAATACTATTATTTTACCAGGCTTCAGCACACTGAGCACTGATTGTAGAATTTTTTAGCTTGATTAATAGTCCAGGATTGGTCAATAACTCAATACTATACAATTTTAATTACTTACATTTAGAAATCTATTTAACTGCTCTCGAACAGGTTTCAAAGAAATATATAAGAGTCCTTGATAAGGAGTTTATCAATCTTGACAAATTGCACATGCATTTTATTATAATTATTAAATAATGTTTGAAAGCCATTAAAATTATATGTAGATGAAAACGTCCTCCTGCCAAATTTGTTCTTTGTAGTAACCGTTAACCTTAAAGAGGTCCTCAAGAAATCATTCTCAGGCGTTATCATTCTCCTAAATGTTATTGAAGGGTATAAACAAAATAATATATTAATATATGCTATATCCACTGACAATTGATTTTTATAATAGTGAAGGGACCATTAACATTTATTAGCCTCTGGTTATCTATTTTTAATAGCTATCACAATAAACAATAAGCCGCTAAATAAAACCAATTAATCTTTTCTTTTTTTTTTCTAACTCCGATGTCAAAAGTTGGGATGATTTATTTCCTATAGTCAGAAGTCAATCCATCCTTTTTATGTTAATAGTCATGAAGATTTACACACAGAAGCGCAGAAATGACCATAGAGAGGCGTAGGTTGAATTCTTACACCAAGGTAATACCAACGAAAGGCAAATAGGATTCTAACACATCACGCTTGCCAAGCACTGGCTTGAGAGGTGTTTGCTAAGTATCCAGTGGCCTATGGCATAGCTGTTAAAAATTTTGCAAATTTAGTTTGACTGAATGGAAGGGTCCAGAACAGGGAAGATAGGAGAGGCGAGTCCTACTTCAGCCTCTGACAAGTCCCGATCAGCTGTGGGACTTGGACAAGTCACTCAACTTCCCTGACTCTCTTTTCTCACCTCTCTGGTAAGGGAGATGGACTGAAATAGGTGCTCTGTTGCATCCAGTCATGCTCTGTCGCTGCTTTCAGATGATCAATAAATGTGTGCTGTCTGAGGATCCGTCCAAGCACAGCCTCACGAGAGAGCATACACAATATAACTTCCACCACCTTCTATCATGTGTACTAACCAGTTCCCTGTACCTAGAGCTTTCTATGGTTTTTGTGTGTGCATGTACAGACCATTTAAATTTCTTTAGTACACACTTGGGAATCGGAGCAACAAGAAAATCTAATATCAATATGTAAAAACAAACCTTATTTTAGTTGATCTCAGAAAACAAAGTGATGGCCCTTCATTCTTAGGTACCTTGGAGAATAAGATTTTAGGCCATAAGGTCACATTCTCCTTTGCAGAAGCTTATCTTATGCAGAATTTAGAACTAAAATGTGTATTCTACTTGCCACTATAATAACAGATTGTCTCTCTCTGCCTAAAAATTTACAAAAACTAGCCCTGAGGAAGCACAGAAGTTATACTGCAAGTAGACAAGATTCTTCTTTTCCTGGATTGTCAGTATTTCCTAAAAAATGAATAAAGGGACATGATAGAAAAGTAATTTTAATACTGATTATGTCCCAAGATTTCACCTAAGGACATAGGAATACATTCAAGACAGAATGAAATCTTCAAGCCCAAGAGCAGGGCTTAGAAAACGTTATCACCACTGTGGAACCTCAAACATCACAACTTCTTTTGGGACAACTGGCCACAGGGGTTAAGACTCTCTATGCATGCTTCTATGAGAACACCCTGACACCTCACCTCCCAATTTACTGCTGAGGGGTGTTGGGGACACAGAATTAACTGGCATTACTAAGCTTTTTATTCTGATGACTAACATTCCCATTAACTTTTCAAATGTCTAGCCAAAAGTAGGACTTCATTTGTTAAACTTTTGGATATAGTCACATTTAACTCCAAAGTTGTCTCCCTTTGGTGTGACATACCAGAAGAAGCAGAGAGGACTGACATCATCAAGTGCTGTGTTCAGCTTTACTCTTTCCAGAACCTCCTCTCATTGAACAACTAAATGGGAATCTCCTTTCTAAAGCATCTTGATTCTTCCTAAGCCATCACACACAGACAGCGCTTTATTATTTTCAAAACACAACGAACATTTTTCACAAAGACATAATATCTCATAACCAGAAGAAGTTTATGGCTTTACTTCTTGAGACATCTAGCAGTGTGTCCAACGATGGAAATGTTCTATATCTACGCTGTCCAATGTGGGAGCCACCTGCCACGTGAAGCTGTTAAAGCACTTGAAATGTGGCTAGGGCAACTGGAAACTAAAGCATTATTTGACTTAATTTTGGTCAATTTTAAATTTAACACCCTCGTGTGGCTAGTTTCCACAGAAATATCAAGCTTCACAAGAAACTAGAAGGTGCTTCATACTAATGAAATAACTAAAAAGCAGACAAAGCCTGGGTCAATTTAGTTAGCACATATCAATGCTCGTAAATTTTTAAGCAGAAAGAAAGCAGTGAGACAATTTTGCACATCTCCTGGCATTCTCTGTAACTGGCAGCTCCTCTGTCTGAGATTACTCCAATAAAATGTGCAATTCATTTTCTTTGAGTCTGTAATTGGTTTGGTGTACACATTTTTTTTTTGAAACATTTAACAAAATTAACTGTGGTTTGGTTTAAAATATTATTAATCCTTCTTTGATTTTTCTTTCATGGCATGAAAGCCTCCAGGACAAAAGTTGTTCGTTTGGGGCCGCATTCTCTCCTTGCCCCACGTTAGTCAACCCAAGTGCAAATCTCCCAAGACTTCAAAGGGAGAGCTACTTAGGTCACTGTTGGCTGTATGGAGTGAGAAAAGAACTTAGTTCTATGTAAGAAGAAAAAGATTCCGGGAAAGCAGCAAAAGTGCAGAGCCAAAGGACCTGAAAAACATGGACCACTAGAGAGAAGATAACCTTCACACTTGGGGGGGGGGGAGGGTACAGTGAGACACAAGAACACTGACACATTCCAAAGAAACTGTTATGGTGATGGATTATCTTCCGGCTCCTCCCACCAAGCAGTACCTTCCAGAGTCACCTTCCCCTCTGATACTACCACATTCAATTACAAACAATGATACTCAAAACACAAATGTGAGCAGCTGACGGTGCACCCAGGAGGCTAAAGGCAAACTTCCCCAAAGTGCACAAACAATCAAAAAAGGGAAAAGAAAGGAAAAGGATGCAAAATGAAGATAAGCATTATAAAGACACTTTCTGCAGAAAATAAAAAGAGAACATATTCATCAGAAAATAATCCACTGTGATTGAAGGCTTTGCTTACCCCTTTCTGGAGCCCCCCCAATGGGACTGTTGAGAGTTTCTGCAGCAGAAAAACAGAAGAGAAAAGGGATTTCTAACTCCTGGTTCAAGCAAAAGTGAGTCAAGCTGCCCTGGCCTAGGTCATAAGCTTATGCAAAACCCCAAATGTTTATGAAGTCCCTAAATAAAACCTTGGTTGATCTAGATTCCAATAGCTTCTTCCTTTTGAATTCGCTCAGGAAACAAAAGTCAGTAGACTGGGAAAAAGGAAGAAGAGATTTGGGGGTTTGTTTGTTTAACATTCACAAAATGAAATCAAGAAATAATAATTCCGTGGCTCCTGGACCTTCATGGATGTATTTTTACCTTTTGTGTTAAATCCTACCTTACCAGGTCAAATGGAATCTTTTTTCTGTGTTCAATGTAAATAACGCAGTAGTTTAAAAAAAAAAAAAAATGGTGATGCTGGCAGCCCTGGGTATCTTTGGGTCTCTTGCCTTTATATTAAGGCATAAACTTTTTGATGATCTCTCATGTGAAAAGCTCACAAACACAGAAACATAAAGTCTCTTTGATGAAGGTTTAAATGTCTTGAGTTTCATGACCAAATATCCAGTCCGTTGAGTGAAAAATCTTTTGGATCTAAGATTCAGGGGCCTGTTCCAAATTTGGACCTGTTTGAAACTCTAACCTGTTTACTTTCTGATTTTGTCTTCTGTGTCTCCCTTTCTTGTCCCTGGTTCTAGCAAGATTTTGAATCAAAATAAAAGCATTTGAATTTTTCAAGTTTGAAGGAAAATGGTTTCTGCTGGGTAAATTCTAAACTATATGTGCCTGAATGGGCACAAACTGCCAAGGACGAATAGCCACTCAATTTGTGGTCACTCACTAAAGAAAATATGTATATTCAGCAGTTGTAATTCTCTACATGGATAAAAGAAGAGGCTCCAAATTTCGCAGCCATCATGCACAAACTTGATGTTCCATTTTAGTTTGGGGTATTTTTCTCCTATTTAGCACCTATGTGGTTAAGAATTATAAAAAGTAGCTTTTACTTCCAAACTTGCTGGTATAAAGAGAGCATTCTAGGTTCTGGAACAGAAAAGACCTATTACAGTCCTATATGCTAAAAGCAAATTATGCACCTAGAATGAACCAGGGGACTAAAGTGACTGGGTATCTCCTTCTATTCTCCCTTTATCTCCAATCAGCGTGTATTTGATTCAGTGATTCAAGCATCTCCTCATCATTACTAAGGAACATATACTTTATTACTTTGCCTCTAAAGGGACTAATTTTTTTAAGTCTTAATTTTAAATTATGAATGATGGTGACTACCTCTCAAGTCTTTACCAACAAAATATAGGAAAGGGAGAAATAGGAACCCACTGCTTGAGTAAATGGATTCCACTCTGCCTAACTACCTGGATATCAAGCACCCATTACTTCACCTCACCTGGAAAAGGAAGGCCTGGCCAGACCACACCTGGGGATCTGAGTCAGGTAAGCCCAGAAGGGTCTAGCACAGGACGGAAGTCTCATGATACTTGAATTTTGTGCCAAGAACTCTAAATTAGCTTGGTATCAGCATGACCTAATAATCTCACGGAAATGTATTTTGTACATGTTAAATTTTCTAATTTATCACGTACTTCTCTGATAGTTTACATAGATGCATTACAAATCATGACACTATTATTTGACAGGAAAGACTTCATCAAGACTTAAACCATAATACACACATGGTTTTTTAAGTGTGACTGGGGTCAGTCCAAACTGTCTGTTTGGGTATCTTTCTATTTACCATGACATATTTTCATTGCTTTATGTGACATTCAGCATGGAATCATATCATGCTCAAAGCTAAGCTTTGAAATCTAGAAACTTTCAACTATCATTTTATCTCACCTTGCATGTTCAGTTACTATGACACCAGTGAAGCTGCAAATAACAGATTCATCCAGCTGAATTCAATTTAAAAAGCAAGTTTATAACAAGGTTTTAGTCCATCTTTTATATAGTTTTTTTTTAAAAAAAAAACTACTGAAATTCTCTGCAAACTTTGAATAGCTGTATCTTGATGCTAACATGTGTATTTGCAAGAAATGCAAACTTTCCAAAAAAAATCCTTTCTGAGTGAAGAAAACATTTTCAAAACTTTTGTGTCACCTCTAAAGCCTATAGAACTAATTTTTATTAGAGGTCTGTCCTATTGAAAGCAAAAGATTATAAAGACACAGTTGCCTCAATGGCCCTAAAGCAAATGTTTCAACATTACTTAGTATAGCAATGCTTAATGCTAAGCAAGTGGTTTCTAGAATGGCGCCAAATAAAAACATATACACATCTAAATGTGCATATGGACCCTAAAATGGATTATTAGTTTAGAAAAGACCCCCTCTCCACCACAGCCCCATCCTCCCTGCTTGGGTTTCCTGGCACAGTCATATCCTCCAGAGCTGGGAGGGGAGTGCTGGGTATACGCGTCATAAGGCAAGGAGCGCTGAGTGGCTTAGGGTTCATCAGGTTAATCAGCGGCCAAATTAAGAAAATAATTCCGGAGTCCTATGTCCAAGTCTCCCATCCGACTTCCAAACATTATTTTCTGCTTTTATAGTCAAAGAGCATTTTCAATGCTATTCTTAGATATTTTGGGTTTAATCAAATTTTCATAGGACATGAAGGAGAGATAAAACACACTCCTTTCTTATTGAATTAATTTGATTTTTGTCTTTTGCGCTCCCAGCTATCGAGACTGTCAAATAAACCGGTTTTGATTCATAAATAATAGTTCCATTATATCTACTATGCCACTCGTCAGAGTACCTGAAATTTTAATTCACTTGTTCAGCTAAATTTCATCCTCAGTTCATGGCCATAAAATTCCTTATTGACAAACTTTCAAACCAACTTTGACTCTGAGGTATCTAGTCAACATTTTTCTTCTGTGTGGATATTAGTTTATTGAATAAGTGGCATCTGTTTTCCTCCACATCACTAGCAGAGTAGGTATTTCCTTTTGACAGCTTTGCAGGATTTATGGGTTTGCATGCTCTAAAGAAAAATAGTACTAAGCAAAAAATTCCAATTCATTACCTCTTAGTACTTAATTAAGTTCATACACGGCACACTGGAGGTGAACCCTGAAACGACTGTGACAGCAGCAGAGCAGCCAGCTATATTATCTTTGGAAGATAGAGAGGATTCTAATTATCCTGACCTCATTTTTCCTTCTATGATATTCATAGCTGTTCCTTCTATTCTGCTCCCCTTTAGAGTTGGACAGAACTGGTTGGAAAGCAAGAGCAGATTCCTCTCTATGGCCACTATTCGTGCAGCTCTTCTGAACAACAAAGTCCAGAGTGGCCTAACATGACCCTCTGACCTTCCAGAACACAGACACCTCTCATGGCGGGGTTTTCCCCAAGGGGCAACTGGAAGACGCACCCAGGACCTGATGGGAAGGCAAGCAGTGGGTCTCACTAAGCAAACACATCTCGAGCGGGGAGAGTCGGGGTTACCTGTCGGGGTTCTGTGTGCACACGTGCATCTGTAACAGGATCCGCTGTGTGAAAGTCTTAAAGCACTGCCCACATTTCCAAAGGTGCCAGTCACTGAACTCTGAGTGCAGCTGGCTCGTGGAAGTCGGGCTCGCGAGGACTCGCTGGTTTTTCACGTTGATTTGGTTAAATCCTGATTCAATGGGCCCAGATTTGTCCAGGAGAGAGAAGCTCCTGCTGCACGGAGTCTGCGGGAAAACGATGGAGCGCGGCTGCGAGGCGGGGGAGAGCTTGCTGCTCTTGCTGAAGGGCTGCAGGGCATCCTGTCTGCACATGGCATCCATTACCGTTGAGGGGACATTTACTGGGAGAACAACAGTTTTAGAAGATCAGTTTTATTAGCCCTTAAAATAAGCACAATAACATACACTAAAAAAAAAAAAAATTCCTATAAATCGACATTTAAAATTTTTGTTTTTCTGGACTCAGAATTAAAATAATAGCAGACAATTTGATTTGAGGGGGAAAGCACTGTTATCACCAATTAGTAACTCAATGCCTATTTATTAAGTGATTATAATATACTCGGGATTGTTTGTACATGGTCTTTGACTTCACAGGGTTTGCTTATGACCTGAGACATAAAGACTCCATAACAAGTCTCCACACCACACCTTAGGTTTGGAGGAAGTTTAGATGGAAGGCACAGCAAGAAAGGGGAAGAGGACAGCAGGGGCTGCCCAGAGACGGTGGCCTTGAGCTGCCCAGAGAAGGTAGACTCAGGCCATTAGGATTTCAGGCCTTCCGCCAGACCGTGCCAGCACAAGACAGGTATTCAAGGAAAACCAGCTGAAGAGATAGATGGAAAAATATGAAAGATGCCTGGAGACAGAAGTCTGGCATGCTAGTGGGATGGTGAGGGTGAGGGCTTGACCAAGCAGGACTTGGGTTCTCGACACTGTGGGAATAAAGCAGTGGAGGGTAGGGAGTAAGACCTCAGAGGGCCTTTAAAGTCCAAAGAAATAAATAAACAAAAGACTTCAGGCCTAAGAAATAGACACAGACTGTTTCTGAGCAGAAATAGCATGGAAAAAAATCAGTGTTCAGGGGAGTCTTGAATGAGGCATCATTTACAGACAGGATGCACTAGATAAAGTAAGAATGGGAGACAACAGAGCATGGTGCTTGTAACTCAGGCTTTGGAATTAAAAAAATCTAGGTTCAAATCCTGACTCGGCCTTTTTTTTAGCTTGGTGATCTTAGGCAAGTTATTCAGTCTCTCTCTGACTTAGTTTCCCCATCTATAAAATGAGGACAGTGGCAGTAAAAATCCTAAAGGTAACAGCGGCTTGGCTTAGAGGTTGAGATGGCCTGGGTTTTACCTCTGCTATTTAACAGCAGCATGGCCTTGTGACTGTGGGGAAGTATGAAATATCAAAATCCACATTTAGTCCTTGGTAAAATGTAAAATGGTCACTGAAGGACTGAGTGAGATAAGGCATAGATAACATTTAGTATGTGCCATGGTTACCACTCATAGATGTTGAGCTCTATGAGCCCTGGTTTCCTCCTCTTTAAACCATCTTTTATGAGGTTTAAATGAGATAATGAAAGTACTCATCACAGCGCCTACTATCGACAATATCTGATTCTTATTATGGAAGAAGAGACATGAATGGAGGGAGGTGGACCTACACTGGGGTGGTGGCAGCGGGAGTGGGGAAGAACCTTTGAGGAAGAAAACCTAATATACTTGAATTTTTTTTTCTTGTTTTTTAAGTTGTTATTGTGTTAATAATATATATCATGTATTCGCTGGTCAACCTACAAGTTGAGGTGATTAGAACTTAATATGCTTAAAAACTATTCTTTTTTTTTAAGTAACTACTGTGTCAGTAAATGCATTTATTGGTTATTTTAGGGGTCAAAGAGATTTAAGGTTAAAAGATGCTCAAGAGAAATTACAGACCAAAAAATCTGAAAAGGTTTACTGGCAAAAAAATTGGCGATGGGAAGTAAACGACGGCCATTGGCTGCTAGTTCAAGGCCACATGGAAGGAAACACATGAACTGAGTGTTCTCCTCCTTTCCTGCTCCCAGCACCACTGGGATTCCTACATAGCACAAGAATTCAAGCATGCTCAACTCTAAAGAGAGAATAGGAGAGGACTAGAACTGCAAGGGGGTCTGTGCTTACGGGGATAGGCAGACGCCACGTGTGGGGGCTTGGAGGGGCTGGTGTGCTGCCACCAAGGACTCTTCAGCTCTCAGCATTCTGTATAATCACATGTGTTAGACAAATCCAACAAAAGGAATAACTCAGTCTACATGGCTCTGTCATCACGACCCATCCCACGCTGGGAGGGGAAAAATAAAGCAAGAAACTCGCAGCCCCGGAGAGAACCTAGAGTTTTGACTCTGACGTCCCTGAGACTCACAGGGGAAATTGTTTAAAAATTAAGTCAGAATCACTTGGTAGAGTCTGGGCATGTGACCCAAGAGCTTCTAATGCACAATCATGGTTGAGAATCAGTGATCTAATCCCATCCTCTCTTATTACAAATAAAAACAGCTCAAGCCCAGGAAGGTCCAATAACTTGCCCAGGGTCACACATTCAGTTAAGGACACAAGTGAGTTAGAAGCTTTCGCTTTCTGACTCCCAGAGCATTTTTTTCTGACCATGCTCCTACATTATCTCTGCTCACCAGCTGTGTTTCAAAAATAAAAAGAGCATTTTACAGCTAGTACAGTGTTTTTGTCACATGCATGAACACATATGTCATATATACATATAAATTTTATATACACCTATACGCACAGATACATGTTGATGTACCTATGTATATTTTATGTATAAATACATATGTATAATTTCAACTTCTGGGGCAAAAGTGTATAATTAATATGAAATCTGTCCATATATTTTAGAATTTCAAAAAAGTTTTTGATTGCACACAGACTTGTTTTTAAAATAGGTATTGAAAGGTAAGGAGGAATATTTTGTCTTGTTTTGGCACTTTTTAAATAAAAAATAAAAACAGCAGCATCATCAGAGATCAGGGTAGAATCTATCATATTCGGCCCGTTTATAACTAATCTGGAAGAGACAAAGCACAGGGAAACCCACAACACTAAGCTCTCGCAGGCTGGGAAATGCCAGACAAACAGGAAGAAGGCACAGTGTGAAGACTGGAACGAAGATGTCATCAACATGCACGAGAGCAGGAAAACCGGTCAGAGGCTTCACTGTTGGAAGGAGGGAAATGACACCGTTGGGGAGAAATGATACAAATACCCCTCTAAGTATAGATGATAAATTCTGACTTCTCACTTATGCTGCTGGAAAGTAACCTAATAAATTAATTTTCAAAAATCATTAAGGTCACATAACCTTTATATTAAACTAAAGAACTTGTGAGCCAATGAATTTTTGTTAAGTTTAATGATCAATGTCAAAATGGTAATAAAGAAAATTTTATATAAAAGTTTAATAATTGTACAATAATCTAGGATCTAGTGGATTTGATTTAATGGTAATAATATCATTTAGGCAATAAGAGTGGATATAGTTGAAACAAGATTATTCTGTCTTATTATTTTCTACTGCAGGGCATGCCTAAACAAATGTAATATGTTTTTGAGATATAGGCAGCAACACCTGCACTCTATATTCTACTTTTGACATCGCCCTTTATTCTACTTGGGAATAAATCCAATTCTACTGAATAAAATGAACATATAATATAGAAGAAAAAGTAAGAACAAGAATGAGTAATTTTCACAAAAGCAACCATATTTGATCTCTAAACTGTCTGGCAGTGATTGCACATTTCCACAGGACCCTAGAGATTTACAAAGTATAATCTTTTTAAAGCAGTACATAAAGGATACAGAATATTGTTCTTCCCAAATACCAGCCTGATTGGCTACAAAAATCAAAAGTATAAACAAAACAAAGAGAACTATCAGAAAGAGGACAGGAAATGAATCAGAAAACACTATTTCTTCCCAGCTCAAATCAGTACAGACAACTGCAAAAGGCCCAAAGATGACTAACTAAAATGACCAAAAAGATGAAGTGGTTTCTACATGACATACTGAGCTGGTAAAATCTTTTTGGTCTATAAGACAAAGATTAAGGAGAAGAGGGAAAACTCTCAACGCCCTAAAGGATATAGTCAAAGAAGAGCATGAACTCATCAAATCCTAAAAAATTTGCCTGAGAGAAGCAAATTCGGGTTCCATAAAACAAAGTCCTACTTTCCCCTCTTGTCCATTCAATCAGCCTACAAGTTCTTATGAGTGTCTACTACATGCCTGACACTGTGTGAGGTGCTACAGGTATAGGGGAAATGAGAACCCCACCCTCATGCCACTTAAACTCCAGCGAGAAAGACAGACAGTGAACACATGTTTTCTACAAATACATGTTTACTCGGTTTCATCGAATCTAAAATTCCATCAATTGCAAGTTGTACCATTAATTGTAAGACATCTGCCAGGTTCAAAAGGATTAACATGTGAGAAATACATGAATTTTAGAATCGACAATACAATCGCTACAAGTGTGATAAGTGCAACGAAAGAGAGCAAAGGGGTGCCGGGAAAACATATCTCCAGGATAGATAACTCGGGATGTGAGGGATGGCTTCCCTGAGCAGTGACCTTGAATGTGAGTCCGGAAGGGTGCACAGATCAGACAGGTGAGAAAAGAGAAAAAGGCAACGCAAAGAAGTGAAACACTGGCAGCTTTGCCACAGAGTCTGTATGTCATGCTGCGGTGAAAGGGAACTCAGGGCACCGAAGAAACTGAAAGAAAGCCTATGCGGCCAGAGAAAGAAGGGGAGAAGGGGCTGCCGCTGAGGTTGTAGAGAAGGCAGCACAAGTGCCAGTGCCTGTGGGAGCTGGGCAAGTAAAAGAAATAAGTGATGGAAGGCAGGTAAATACAACAGAAAACGGTGGCATCTGCAGCAAACTGAATAGGGCACGGCCAGTCGTATCACGTGTGAATTCTAATTTTGTAAAACATACGTGAGCCATACGATGTATTTCTGAAGACTATTTGTGGCCCAAAGGCTACCATATTAAAGAACTAGAAATTTATTATGAGAGAAATGGCAAACCAAAACAGAGTTTAGAGCTAGGGTATGAGGTGATCAGATTTATGCTTTAAATGCCCCATCACTCTATATCGTTAAGTGAAAAAGCGAGGTGCACAACGTGTATGGTACGCTGTTCTTTGTGTAAAAGGCGGGGGTGACAGAGCGAGAACCAGAGAAGGAGCAGGAGAATATGCTTGAATGCATGAATGAGCAAAAAAATGTGCCTGGAAGAACACTCAAGAATCCGTCAGCTGATTGCCT